TTTTAACACTCACACTAAAGTTAGGGCAGTAATGCACTTGGACTTAAATTGAGGTAAGCAGACATCCATCATTCCCCTTTATTTCTGCCACTGACAGCTGCAAGCATTTATTAAGGGCCTATTAAATGTAGGATCTTCTGTTTATGGGAGACAGTTTCCATGTCTCTAAAGTGAGAGGAATGGAGTAGATGATTTTTTTCAGCAGTGTATGATTGATGAGCCCATATCCTCAATTGACTTTCAAAGGTTTGGGCATTTTTCTGTGAAACCTTTAACCCCGTAACCAATGGGAAGACATTATCCAAATGAATTCACTTAAAAAACAATTAAATACATGGGAGCCAAAGATAAGATTTACTGTCCTGCCAAAGAGATGTCAGGATCAATATACAAACCTCAAATTGTAATATAATACACTAGATCCTGAGTCACAGAGGAATTTCTCCTGGAGCCCAGGATTGTACTTTACTATCAAAGAGGAGACTGTACCAGCAGAATGGGGTCAGATGAAGGGAAATTTCTCTAGAGTGATATTTATGGATGGAAAGTAGGGAAGAAAGCACAATGGGATATCACTCATGTAGAATGAAGGATCTAAGTCTGGACAAAAGAAACCTGTGATGTATAACCTATATCAAATTGCTTTCCATGTCAGGGAGGGGAGATGGTGGGGGGGGGGGAAGAATTTAGAACTCAAAATTAAAAAAAAAGTGAACATTGGTTTTACATGTAACTGGAAAAAATAAAATATTATAAAAACACAAAAGAAGTCTGTGAGAAATTGTAGACAGAGTAGAGTGAGTTGAGGAAAGTGAAGAAATGAGAAAAAGACCATGAAAGGATCACAAAGTTCGAACTGGAAGAGGCATTAGAGATCACTTAGTCCAACTGCCTCACTTTGCCAATGAGAAAAACCAAGGTTCAGAGAAATTCCATCAATCAATCAGCCAATCAAGAATCATTTATTAAGGACCTACTATGTGTCGGGCACTGTGCTAAGCACTGGGGTACTTACAAGCAGAGGTGTCCTGGAGCCAGCTCTAACTAGCTTGTGAGAGCTGACTATTCAGTTTTCAGTGTGAGCATTTACACCTCAGAAATCAGCAAATGCTACAAATCAAGGCTTGATTTATTATTTTGTTGATTGTCTAGACTTAAGAAAGTGATGGAGAAAATGTTAGTAATGCAGTTTAAACTTAAAAGTGTGTCTTGTATGGTTTTTTGGGGTTTTTTTGTGGGGACTTGTTGTTTACTAGCATACCTCTGGGTACAAGTATAAAAAAATGAATAATCTCCACTTGTGAGGAGCTTATATTCTAATTGTTGTTATTGTTTGTCTTTTGTTCTCAAAGAGGACCATGACATCAGGAAGGTGATGCCATGACTTGCAAGCGAATTAGATCTAAGTGAGGGAGGGCTGTGCAAAGTCATCAGCCCCACTTTCTCCTCTGGAGCCATCTGGGTCCAGTGGCAAGATATAGATCAGGATGACTGGTGATGGCCCCGGAAGGCAGTGGGAGACCTTTGCCTTTTTACGAGAAGACATCTAATAGAGAAAGAACAACGTATATAATTACATACAAGATAAAAATAAAGAAAATAAATCAAAGTAGCTAAATTGAAATGTAGTTTTAGGAGGGAGGGCACTAGTAGTTGAGAGGATCACAAAAGCTTCATACATAGGATGGTGCTTGAACTCTGCTTTGAAGGAAGAGAGGAAGGTGAGGAGGTTCATTCTAGGCTTGGCAGAAAGTCGGGTCAAAGGCAAGGACATAGGCAATGGAATTGTCATGGTAGGGAATAGCGAGAAAGCCAGTTTAGCTGGATTGCAGTGTAGGAGGGAGAGTAACGTATAATGAGGTTAGAAAGATAGATTGGGGCCAGATTGTGATGGTCTTTAAAAAACTAAACAGAGAAGTTTATATTTTATCCTAGGGGGAGCCATAAGTTTATTGAATAGGGGAATGATATGGTCAGATCTGCTCTTAAGGAAAATCCCTTTGATAGCTGAGTGGAAGATAGACTAGAGCAGGGGACAGACTTGAGGCAGGAAGAAGGCTATAGTCCAGGTGAGAGGTGATGAAAGCCTGAACTAAAGCAGTAGCTGTTTGAGTGGAGAGAAAGGGTTAGGTGCAAGAGATATTACTGAAGTAGAGATAGAAAGGTTTAGTAGCTGATCAGATTTAGGGGGTGAGGGAGATGAGGAGTTGAGGATATTGCTGAGATTACAAACCTGGGAGATTATCTTCTCTAGTTATGTTGAAGCTGGTTGTTCTTTTATTCTATAATATTTATGTGGCCTGATACCTGCTAGAATTGTGCTCAATATCTTCTGTACCTCTACAAAGACCCTCACGGGGCCATGCTGCCACACTGATTTCATCCTTATTTGTTTGATTTCAAACTAATTAACCCAGAAAGATCTGGGTTCAAATTCTGCCTCAGACACTTATTAGCTACAGGATAAGTCACTTAACCTTTATGCTCCAGTTTCCTTATGTGCAGAATGAGGGGGTTGGACTGGATGACCTCTAAGGTCCCTTTCAGTTCTAACTCTCTGATCCTATGAACTCAGCAGTAGACCTTCCTTGTCTCATTTTCATCCAATTTCATATTTTCATGAAAGTGAAAATGTTGGTTCTAAAACATATCTTGCCTCCTTCCCTTCAACAGCATAATTGGGTTATATTGAAATTACTGATTGATGTTTTTTTGCTATCCTTGTCCTTTTGACTTCCTATGTGTAAGGAAGGAAGCACTGAGTGACTGTGGGGGGCACCTCTGTACCCTGGATGACCGAGTCATGGCTTCTGAAACTAAGGGAACAGTACAGGCCTGACAAAAAAGTCCTGGTGCTCCAGGGACCTTGTTGACAATGTCTAATGTGCTAATTCTGAGTGGGGGGGTTCCAGAGGGGTGACCTTAAAAATTGTTTGAGAAGGTATGTCTGAATTTCTCCAGGGCTTCTAAGAAGGTTCATTTGGTAGGAATCATAAATAAAATCAGCACTATGAATAAATCAATAAATGAAAAAATTCCTCATTTCTAAGGTGCAGGCTCCCTGGTGCAACTATTACAGCAGGCTGATTTTAGATAGGAGCAGCTGGGTGGTGAAGTGGATAGAGTGCATCTTCCTGAGTTCAAATCCCACCTCAGATACTTATTAGTTATTTGGCCCTGGGCAAGTCACTTAATCATGCTTGCCTCCATTTCCTCATCTGTCAAATGAGCTAGAGAAGAAAATGGCAAACCACTCCAGTATCTCAGCCAAGAAAACTCCAAATGGGGTCACAAAGAGTCAGACACAACTGATGTGACTGAACAACAGACCTTAGATAAAACAATTAAAATAGTGACCAGCCTCAAAAGCTATCTCATGACCAGCAGTTTATTGTAATTATTTTTTCAGTATGAGATTTAACAGGATAATTAGTCAGCAAACATTTATTAAGCATATACTAGGTGCTAGAGAGAGAGACAGAGACAGAGAGAGAGAGAGAGAGAGAGAGAGAGATCCAGAACCTGTCCTATGAATGTATGGCCCCTTGAGGCCAGGGACTGTTTTACAAGGCTAGCTAGATTTTAGTGACTCCCTAACTAAAGCTGAGGTGGGCAGATTTTGGTTCATGTAAAACCAATGTAAAACTATTTCCAAATGAATTGATATTTAAGCACCTACTATGTGCTAGGCACTGGAAATGAAAACAAGACAAAACAAAAAACTTCAAAGCTTTCATTTTCCTGGGAAGAGATTTCCAGAGGCTTAGAGCTTTGATGTCAGGGTCTGTTTTGTTTTTGTCTTTGAATCTCCAATGCCAAAAAACAGTCCTGTGCACTTAGTAGGTACTTTATAAATTCTTGCTGAATTGGAAATAAATTACCTTTTGCCATATTTTACATAAACTGCAAACTTCCTATCAAGCTATAACTTCACTTAAGTCTTACTGACCTTGCAAAACAAAATGCACCTTGTGACAAATCCACCAACAAACATTAAAAAACTACTACATGCTAGGCACTATGCTAGGCAGCGGAGACAAAAAGCCCTGCCATCAAAGTTTACAAACTAGTGAGGACAGACAAGATAGATAGATTGATTGATAAATCGATCTGTATATATACACACACGTATATAAAGCATTGGGGAAAAGGCACTAATAGTTGGAAGGATCAGGAAAGGTTTCATTTCAAGTAGAAGATGAAGCTGGAGCTATGCTATGAAGGAAGCTTAGGGGTTTTAATAGGCAAAGGAGAGGATGGAGTCATTCCAGGCATGCAAAGGCATGGAGATGGGAGATCGGAAATCTGTGTGTGAGGAAGTGTACCATGGCAAATTTGACAGAATCATAATGAGTATGAGAATAATGAGTGATAAGGTTAGAAAGGTAGGATTGGGCAAGACTGTGAAGGGCATTAAAAGTCAAACTGAGTTTATATTTGATCTTAGAAGCTAGGAGTAATAGGGACCCCCTGGAGTTTACTCCCAGTCAGATCAGTGCTTTAGGAAAACTACTTTGTCAGCTGTGTAGATAATCAAGTAGGGAGAGATTGGAGGCAGGGAGACTAAATAGGAAGCTGTTTCAATAGTCTAGATGAGAAGTGATTAAGTACCTGAGCTAGGGTGGTAGCCACAAGAGTGGAGAGAAGTAGACAAGAAGATAGATGTGAGAGGTTCTGGGGAGGTAGGAGATAGTTGGCAACTGAATCCATCTAGAGGGTGAGTGAAAGTAAGGGGTCAAAGATAACACTGAGATTATGAACGTGGGAGACTGGAAAGATGGTGGAGTTTGGAGGAGAGGGTGGGTTCAGAGAGATAGATAATGAATTCTATTGTGGACCTGCTAATCCACACTGCAGCAGTACTATCTAGGAACTGCAAGCCTGCCCTCTTTCTGTCACTCTCAATGATGTTATCACTTTGAACTATGAGGTAAGATATCAGAATTACATCTGCCAGAGAACCTGAGAACAGTCTGGTGTTAAAGAAAAGACCAAGGTAGTGAAATGAGGAAACATTTTCATTTTTAATGGTCAAGGCATGAAGGGTTAGATCTGATGGGAGTTATGGGTAGATTCTAATGACGAGACCAGTCAGAGAACAGACAGGCAGGAGGTAGCAGGAGAGGCTGAATCCCAGTATAGTGATGGTTCAGTGGTGTCAATTAAAACTCTCTTCAACAGACAGGAGGAAGTTGAGAGCCTGCTCTCCTTCTTTGGGTCCACATAGGAAATTTGATAGTGTCAGTGTTTTGCATATAGAAGGCACTTATAAATGCTTGTTGGATTGGAAGTCTTTGTGTGCAGGCAACCAGTATAGGCTGATTTTTTTTTTAAGAGTAAACAAAAGCCGCAAGAGGGTTCAATACTGAAATGCTGACTACTGATGTGTTATTGACAAAGTGAATATAGAAGAAATTTGGATTCTTTTAACTAATTAAAGATGTCAAATCCAAAAACAATTCCAGGATTGGCTTCATTAATGAGAAGCACAAAAACACTTGAAATCTCATCCTAATGAAAACAAGTCCATAAAAAAGGTCTTAGGCATCCTGTAGTCCTCACTAAGGCAAAAAAAAAAAAACCCCAAACACAAAAAACCCAAGAAACAAACAAACCAAAAAAAAACCCCACCAAAACCCAACCCTAAACCATAGGGCATTTTAGGAAGGTAGTTGTGGGAGGCCTTCAGTCACAGCAAAATATTCAATTTAGGAAGACTAGTATGTCGACTCAAAGCTTCACAGACCATAAGGAGCTAATTTTTTGATGTCTAAAAGAAAGGACCCTAGCACCTCAGTTGCCCAACTCAACAATGTGCCCTTGACATTGTCAACAACCTTGACATTGCACTGAGCTACAGAGGCCAAGCCAGATGGCTTCCATCTCAACTCTCTTCTTGTCCAGTCACCATCCTCATCATTTTCAAGGCCATTTCCCCTTGGTCAGATGGAACCTGGGAAGAAAAAGGAGTACAGATATTAGCATTTATGATGGCATTGTTATTGTTAGGTTCATTTTGGGGACTAGGGGTTAGGGAGTAGTGTCCAAGAGATCGAAGACTTTTGGATAGAGAACTGGAAGGGAACTTGAAGGCCCTTTAAATTGCCTTACTTTAGAGGGCAGGAAGTGGAGAGGCCAAGAAGTTAAGTGGCTTGTCAAAGGTCACACAAGAAGTGGCAGAACTGAGATGTGACTACAGGTAGTGACTCCAAATCTAGCACTCTTTCTACTGCACCATGGTTGTATTAATGAGAGAGAAAGAAGATGAAGAAGAAGAAGAAGAAGAAGAAGAAGAAGAAGAAGAAGAAGAAGA